TCTTACCTTCCCTCTAGTTCAATGTAGGACCATCAAATAATTATGCTCGAAATCAAATTCACTTGAAAGTAGATTTCTGGCGTCAACTCTTGAATGACTAAGTGTATGGCGCCTCCATCCATCACTGGTTCATCTGATTATTGTGGTGTTCGTCCTGGCGGCTCACGATGGTGTGTTGTTGGGAGTGCTGTTGCTAAATACTTCCTTCTTGCAAATGAAGTGTAAGACGTCTGCACAGAGTGCGCGTGGTGTGTTCAATACTGCATACATCTCGGAGAGCAGTCTCCAGAATTGGACCAACCTGGTCAGAGACCAGGCTGCGGGGACATTGATTACCGAAAACATCTTGAGGTTATCTTGAGATGATTTCGGGGCTTAACGTCCCCGCGGCCCAGTCCTCGACCAGGCCTCCTTTTTGTTACACACCCCCAGGAAGCAGCCCGTAGCAGCTGTCTAACTCCCAGGTACCTATTTACTGCTAGGTAATAGCGGCATCAGGGTGAAAGAAAAATTTTGCCCATTTGCCTCCGCCTCCACCGGGGATCGAACCCGGAACCTCAGGACTATGAATCCGAAGCGCTGTCCACCCAGCTGTCAGGCGCTCTAAGGATAGCACCACAAGATAGACAGAACTATTTGGTAATATTTTGCTTTTGTTTTTCGTGTTATCCTGCGGCAGTCAACCAACTCAGGCAACACTGCATCTTTCCAGAGCTTGTGCGACAACACACAGCTTTTTCAGACTTGTCACGCTTTGTTAATGGACTATTCCTAGTGTTTCCTGAATTAGCCAGAGTGTTGTACCAGAGAATGAACAAATGCATCACGCTATTGTGATTTGTGTGTGTAATGAAGTAAGGGCGAAGAGGAAGAACGGCCGATTGACATAGCTCGAGTGCATGGGGGAGTTGTGTAAATCCCTGGTTTGTGTCTCGGAGAGGCTGCAGGATCCAGTAAGTTCAGTAGAACTTCTGGTTTCAACTCTTTTGACCATGTCGTAGCTCAGTCGATTAAGGCAGCGTCTGGGATGCTCTCAGACATAGGTTCGAACCCTCGTCACGGCCCTTGTGGATTTGTTCATTGATGCATCACGCTATTTGTGATTCCTGTGTGTACCGGAGACTGTTGGTACACCGTTGTGGTGTGGTGCATGGATCACGTACCGTAATGTCTCTCAGTTAATACGAAGCGGCCGGACCAGCAGGACGTGGGCCTTAGGAGTGAGGCCTCGGTACAAACCTATATACTATCACCATGTCCAACCACTTGGTCTGGACGGTAGAGCGACGGTCTCGCGTCATGCAGGTCAGCGTTCAATCCCCGACTGTCCACCAGTTGGGCACCATTCCTTCCCTCCGTCCCATCCCAAATCTGAGTGTTCCTGACACCTTCCCAGTGCTATATAGTCGTCATGGCTTGGCGCTTTCCCTTGATAGTTCCCTTCCCTTACAAAACATATACACCTTTCCTAAATGATGACAGCTTTGTTTACATCATTTATTAAACAAAATTGTTACGTTCGCAAGCTCGTAAACTGTTTAACAAATGTAAATAAAGCCGCCATGATTGTTGAAAGAGTTACAGGTTTCGGAAATAGATGCGTAAATGTTTGACGAGTCATGATCTTGGGGGAACGAACATATTTGGCCTGTTAAAGAGTATGGTGTTTCATGACCCGAACCCCAACACCTCTCACAGCATACCTGGAGAGGGTTCTGGGGGGTTCTTCTACTTCCCGAGCCCGGCCTGGGGCCACGACCCGGATTCACGAAGCTGTTACGCAACACTTACGAACGTGTACATCTTTTCTCGATCTTTGGCGGCTTTGTTTACAATTATTAAACAGTTAATGAGCTCGGAAGCACCAGGAGGCTGTTTATAACAATAACAACAGTTGATTGGCAAGGTTTCATGCTTGTAAACTGTTCAATAAATGTAACCAAAGCCGTCAAAGATTGAGGAAAGGTGTACACGTTCGTAAGTACTTGCGTAACTGCTTCGTGATTCCGGGTCCAGAATCGGCTTGTAATACCTTAGTCCAACAGGCTGTTGCTTGTTCCACATCCCCACTACAGCCTGGTTGGTCGTGGATATGTGGGTCTACGGGGCGCTCCAATCAACAGCCTGATGGATCAAGCTGTCACAAGATACATGAGCGTCAACGGTCGCCAGTGTTCCAGGAGGTGGATACCCCGGGCCCCAGACGTTACCCGCACTGTAAGACTGGTGGGAGGTAGTACACAGTCTCAGTGATGGTAATAATCCTTACCTGCAGTAATGTGTTCAGTCTGAGGAACAGTCTGGTGGTGAGGCTCCTCATGTGTCATAGCACAGTCTTCGCCCCAAGGTGTTTACAGTCAT